AAGTGTCTATATTTGTGTTGTAGTCATGGCGACCCCTGGTTCCTATCACCACCACTGTAAAGACATCTGAACCATTTCGCACCAAACCACTCTGAATCTCTCTGATTACATCTCACACACTGAGTTATGGAGAAAATTTGAAAAGTCAGTGGCATTGCCCTTTAAATTGGATCTTTTTCCATGAACGCCACTCAAAACCACAGTCAAGGCTGCCACTTATTTCCTACAATGTATTTTTATTTACTATTTTTACTATTTTTTCTATTACATTTCTATTTAATTTCTCATATTCAATCGTACTTTTGATTTAGCAACAATTTCAATTGACAAATGAAAGGTAAGAGTACAGTAAGCAAAAGCAACTACATATTTCAGATGATCCAAATCCAGGTTTCTTGTGCCATTAAATATATTTCTCGTTGAAACATACATAATCGTTAGATTAGTTGATTAACTGAAAATAATAGATTAATTAATTACAGAAGTGATCTGTGGTTTCTCGATATCAGTATCGTAACGCATGTCACAATGACGCTTAACAGAGGACACATTACTGTACGGCCTTAATTTCAACACATATCTTTCCTCAAACTGCTGCCATAAAAACACTTCACAGCAGAGAGAAACGATTCATATCTTCCGTCTTTTCTCACCGAATCACTGAAAACTACTGACAACACGCACGAGTCGCTTTTCCACTGCAGGCTCAACACCGAGCGCTTTGCTAACCGTACTCAGGGCCACAGAACAGTTCAGTGAGATGATGTAACAACGTAGATATTCTAGACTGGTATCAATATTGTGCCACAGCTGCCTGCTGCACTATTTCAAACCCAAAAACAACCCAAATAACTGAAAACAGTGCACGATTTTAAATACACCACTCAAACATCTAAGCTTCAATCTAACGTACATTTTTAAAAGGTTAATGGTGCTGCTAACCGGGAGAGAGTAGCTGGTTAGGGTTAGCTTAGCTAGCTTGTTTAGAAATTAAACCTCCTATCTGGTGTCTGGATCTGGAGCCTCCTAGCTAAGCTATCGATGTTGGAGTGACAGAAAACCAAAATCGAACCTTTTTTTTTCTAGAGCTTTAAGCTGTAGCCTGCTAGGCTAAGCTAACATGAGTGTAGGGTGCCTCCCACTGCGGTTCTAGCGGACCGAAGAATCGTATCAGTGCTCAGATTCGAATGACTGGTGTTGAAGTGACAAAGATGAAAAACATTATACATATATAACATATAATATAGAATATATAATATACATGTGGTGCTTTGAGATGAACCCTGCCAGGCGACACTAATGCTAATGTAGGTGGGTTATGTAGGTAAAACCCACCGCAGTACAGGCTAAAGGATGAGCGTCAGACAGAACCAAACATGGTTTGTGGTGGGTGGTGTGTGCGCAGCTATTAGCCTGTTAGCAGTTAGCCGCTCGTTTGTGTTGTTTTCTTGGGTTTTCCTGGTTCTGATTTAGTGGTACAACAGATGGAAAATAAAACCGTAACCAATCTCACGAGTCCAGACCAGCGCGGAACGGCCCAGTACGGCCCTGAGAACCAACAGGACCAACAGTGGAAATATGGCCTTTTTTCCACTGCAGTGCCGAACGGTTCTGAGCACGGAGGGTAACCGTTCCTGAGGGTTTTCCCACATAGACATGGTTCAACACAGAACTCTTAAAAACCGGGTTCAGTCTGTTTTTTTCGGCACGGTTAGCTAACTGTACTTGGGGCCGCAGAACCGATCGGTGGGATGACATAACGACGTAGCTGTTCGCTGATTGGTTCTATGTTGGTATTGTACCACAGCCGCCTGCTGCGCTATTTCAAACCCGAAAACAATCAAATAAGTTTGATTTGTTCACACAGACGCCAAATAAATGAAAGCGAATAATAAATAAACAAATTTAAGTACACCATTTCATAAACATCAAACCTTCAATCTAACACCACTTCCTAAACATTAAACAGTGCTGCTAACCAGGAGAGAGTAGCTGGTTAGCAGTAGCTTAGCTAGCATGCTGCCAGCTCTGCTCACCACAGAACAGGTTCGATTTCTGACTAACAAAAGCTTTACTGACACAAATTTAGATGATAATGACTCGAAGCGAAGTCGAGTGGCTGATGTGAGTTTGTCTAAAGCATAAGCTCCGCCCACTTTACTCTCATAGGCTACCCACTTTGTAATCAAACATGCAGTATGTCAGTGTTTAACCTTTTATTGTCCAGAGTATATTTTTGGATTGTCCATCTGAATTTACGTGACCAAATCGTAAGGCAGATTATTCAGTAACTGCATGAAATAAATGTAAATTTTTATTTTATTTATTTATTTTTGGTAAAAGCTCCCCTCAAATTAATAGAACGTGTTTTATGATCTACACATATTGCTATATGCTTATAATTTACTGCTGAAAGCCAAAAATCTTCAACGCTCTTTGTATTATTTTATAAAAATAATGTTTACAGAGCAGATCACTGAAGAGACGCCATCTGTTTATGGTTTATAGCCCAGATTTGTGGAAAAATGGGTCGACTTTCAGCGGAAAAAAAAATTGTGAGTTCAGCTTCTTTTATTATAAGGGTTTAAAATTACATCACCCATCTATTTGACTGGAAAGAAGACAGTTACAGCTCTCATACGACCCCCACCTTTAGAATGTAGCATATGAAATATGAAAGTTATGACGAATATGACAAAGTGCGTTTTGGAACCACCGGTGGTCCCAAGGAGTTGAAGAGGTGAAGTACAGACAATATCGACGATACACTCGGAAAGGATTACCAGGACATAATTTATCACGATACGATAAACACGGTCATATCGGCCAGCCCCGATCGAAATCACTACACCCTTAATGATTATTGAGTTTAAAGACGAATTGAAAACAATGGTCAGTTGTATATTCAGTAATCTGACTCAGATGGAAGCTGATGGTCAAGAGTGATCTCACCACTACACAAGACGGAGAGCGCTACACCCTTCAAGGCGGTACTGCAAAAAAAGCAACAGACGCACTTTTTTACTATTATTTCCTCTTTAACATCTGTCTCCTGAACTTCCCCATGACAAATATAACTGTCTGAAAGAAGTGAAGAGGAAGTAGTTCCTTGACAGATCAGATAGTACACGTTTTGTGGGCGCAGGACAGTGTTTTTGTCGCTTATACAGCACAAACTACATTAAGAGCTTGGAAAATTCTCATAAGCTTCGTAAAGGCATTACAAGCACTTTGTGGTCAGCCTTCAACGCGACTCCACCCAAGTTAGAGCTGCTTGAGCGGTGTTATCACCAAAGCTCTTCTAATAAAGACAATACTGTTAGACTAAATGACACGTAATGGGGGTTTAGTTGAGAGCAGAAGCTTTTAAAAAAGTCAAACCATTGTCACAGCACTCGCCCATTTGTGTAGGCTGTAGTCTCCAAGCTCATACGGCCGAGGCGAGGCCAGCTGAGATGTAAGGAACCAGGCGAATCAGCAACAAGGTGCTGCTTCATGCTGCCATCTCTATATTGCTGAAATTATTGTAATTAAACATAATGAAGGAGCACAAAACTAGCAATAGGTGCTTCATCCAATGCATCCGAGCTATGCTATACAGCCAACCACAGCCTCCAGTGAGTGAATTCAACTGCTTTGAGGTGCAGGCATTATTGACAACACAGCTCGAATCCATAGGAGAGCACTGACCAACAGCCGCAGATGGGTCACCAATGCCAAGCGTGGGCTAGAGGGGTATAAAGACCCCCAGCATTGGGCTGTGGAGCAGTGAAGCTGTGTTCTCTGAAGCGATGGAGCTAAAAATACTTTTGGGATGAGTTGGAGTGATCCAGAACTGACCCCCCAACATCAGTACCTGACCTCACTAATGCTCAATCAAATCCTCACAGCAATGTTCAACATCCAGTCTAAAGCCTTCCCAAAAGAGTAGAGGCTGTTACTACAGCAAAGAGGGACAAACTCACGATTAACACCGTTCATTTCAGGAAAACAATGTCCACAAACTTTTGGACAGGCAGTGCACAGTGTTGATCTGAGAGAGAGGAACAGGGCTGAGCTGAGCACCAGGTTAGAACAGTACATATGAAGCAGAGTAACACGCTGCTATTTAACTGAACCACAACCTTCAAAAAAGATGGTTCTTCAAGGATTTTTTGGTACAGTTTAAATGGTATTCAAGCATTTCTTGCTTAAATTGCTCTTTTCATGGTGGGACGGTTATTCAGATTCATTGAGAACCTGTTGTATATGGTTCTGTATAGCACCTTTTTAAACATGGTCCTTCTATCATGACAAGATCGACATCCCAAATGACAGAAGAACTCTTTTTGGTGCTATGCAGAACTGTTAGAACAATAGAAAAAGCATTTTTGGTGCTATACAGACCCACTTAGAACCATCATAACAATAAAAGAGCCCCTTTTTGGTGCTGTACGGAGCCATTATAACAGTAGGAGAACCCTTTTTGGTGCTGTATAGACCCGTATTGATCCATCAAAACAGTACAAGAGCCCCTTTTCGGTGCATCGTAGTTAATAATAGCCTTTTTGGTGCCTCTTAGAACCATTTTCAGAAAAAGTTCTAGCTACATAGAACCAAATGCAACACATTCTCCATCAATCTGAAGATCCAGTTCACAATGCAAAGATTAAATGCAAACATTTAAGTGTGAAATTGTTCCACACAGAACTCGACCTCAACAGAACCATTTCCTTTACTAAAGAACCCTTGAAGAACCTTCTTTTTAAAGAGTGTGGTAGGTGATAAACTGGCACTCCTCCAGTCTCCGGCTTAATTCCTGCCTGTCTGGCTGGACAAGGTGGGGCTTAGTCAGTTATCTATCCATACACAGCCTCCAAACTACGGGTTCTCACTGAATAATGAGCAGAACCGTGACTGCCAGAGAACCAGAAAGGCCCCAGTTTACTTAATGAGCTGCTGGTCTGAGTATCAGGCCCAGACCGCGGGATCTCCTCCCGCTACTCGCCCTCGAAACTCACCCGCAGTCCGGCAAGGCTCCGTGAGCTCCGCCCGGCGCCCAGCGGGAGGGTTTATCCGCTTTCCCCCGCCACAGCTCCGGCTAGCAAGCCGCCCTTCTTCCTCGAAATGGAAACTTAGCCGTGGAAAAGGCTACAAATCCGGGGTAAACACGCTGATCTCCTCCGCGGGGCTCCGCTGCCCGAGTGTTGTTTGCAGGTTAGCTTAGCCTAGCCTAGCTTAGCCCGTCTGCGGGTTCCGGTTGGCATCGGTGTCAATTCTCTCGTTCCGCTCGGTTTTGACGGGAAAACAACCCAATGGCCGTTCAATATGAACGCGTAACTTATGCGCACTTTGTTTATTCCGCCGAAACTCAAATAAATCCACCCAAAAGTGGGTGTTCGCCGGTTTGTGTATCTCTCACCTCCCGCCCGAGAAACTCAGTTCCTATAGCGATGACCGAGTCATGAACCACTCGTTCGCATGAGTCGGTTCTTTTCGAAGAATCTTTCGGACCGATTCACAAGCGCAATTCAATTCAATTCAACTTCAATTGTTATTGTACGAATCAAGGGTGTACAGCAGGGGTCTTTAATTAAAATTCAGTAAGGTCCAGTTAGAGAAAATATCCTCAAGCAAAGGTCCAGAACATCAGAATGTCTGACTTGTATTATGATTCAGTGCCATATACTGTAAACTGAAGTAGCCTAGTAGGTATATCAGCATCGTATACAGTCAACAACTGAATATCAAATCAAATAAAGTACAGTTCAGTCATATTTCAGCAATATTTATTGTCAGTTTCTCTTTTTAGAGAATGTCATGTGGAATAACTTCCCTCTGACTCACTTTCTCCTCTGACTGCTGTGTCTCGCCTTGTTCCTCCCCCGTGTGCGCATCACTCACTCAAGTCTCAGTGCTCATCGTAATGCACAGATCTGATTGGCTGAGTAGCGTCACGTGTGATATTTACAACGCATGTGATTGGTCTGTGAGTTTCCTGGCCCCTAAAGCTACAGTAAAGGTTAGAAAAGCTACGGCGATTAAAACAGGACCACCCTGTCGAAATTAAATAATTATCCATAGTTTATCGTTTATAGGTTCAGGTCCGCATAGGACAGCGTCTGGGTCTGGACTCGGACCGCGGTCCGCCTATTAGTGACCTCTGGTGTACAGTACGAAACGCTGCTTCTCCTGTGTAGCGATAAAGAATAGAGTGAAAAAACAGTGCAAAGACAGTAAATACAGGATACATGCATGAACAGCAACTGTAGGTCAGAAGGCAGAGGTAGAAATAAAATGCAAACTATAGTTAAGCAATAAATATGCACTCCTCAAGCGATTCACAGCTGGTGTTTTATAGTGTGTATTTAATTGGGAGTGTACAGTTTGTTGAGGTAAAACAGGTCAGGTGTGCAAATTACTGTAAACATCATCACAGATGTTATAGGCAACAAAGGGTACCGTGCAGGTAAATGAGCAACAGCAGCTTAATGTTTCAAGACGAGGTGAGTTTGTTCATGTAGCATGTTTCATACACAAAGGCACTTCAGTGTGCTTTCTATAATTAAAAGCAAAAGAAAAAAATTAACATAACACCATCAGCACGTGAAATGAATAAATGTAAGTATTTTAATATAATAAAGTGTTCATTCACAAAACAGAGTTCCGGTCCTAAAATCTGATTGGCTGAGCCGCGTTTGAAGCCACTGTAGGGCACGATATACGCGCTACTATGACCGTCTCACAGCAGCTGAACTCTGTATCACAGCGCCACAGCACAACAAAACCCTTGTGTTGTTAATGAAATAATGTTAATGCCGCTCAAATTGAGTATATTGATGAAGTGAGAACCCGGTTCTGTTTAAACTGAGGGGCTTAACTACAATGTTCTTGAATAGAACCAGGCTGGTCAGCTAAGTTAGCTAACAGGCTAAAACATAGGTAACAGCCTAAACTAGCTCCATCATTAATATCACAGGCTTGAATTAAAGTACTTACAGTATGATTAACTGTAAAACTGCAGTACAAAAGTCTAAAAATGTGTTACACACTTCAAATATTCGTGTTTCAGTCAGGATTCAACCCCAGGCTGAACCCCAAACACCTTTGTACTCCCTAAACAGTGTTCTAGCTATGAAAGTTTGGAAATTCTAGCCACTACAGCCAAACAGTGCATCATGTATCGAGTGTGGATGAGTCCCAAATGACTGTTTCTTAGCTGTATTTTGCTCTGTTGGGCTGCAGGATCCAGTATTTAAATTCACTATGTAGGGAGCAGGGAGCCATTTGAGACTCAGCCCCAGTGTGAGAAGAGGGGCCGCTGGATTGGTGCTAAATAAGACTCGTGGTGGTGATTTGGTGACTAAAAAGTACTTACAAAGCAAAGGTTTGCTGTGTTATCATATGTTCATTGTTATACGACAAAAAGCTAAAAGGTTCATCAAATGACTGCAACATACAGCGATGGGCGACCGAACATTCTTCTCCTCATTCAGTGGTCAATGGTTGCTTGGCGACGATACCGTACTCTCCAAAATGTTTGGTCTGATCAGAAGTGTGAGCTTCTTTTGATCCGACGTATGTTTTTGTACAGTCATTGTTAAATGACAATGTTTTTCTCCATAGGAATGGGGGGCAAAAGTTTTTGCACCAGCTTAAATCATGATGATAAAAGTCCGTTAGCAACACCCTTTTAACAATGTAGCATACCACAGCAACCACCTGGGATACCATAGCAGCCACCTGGAATACCATAGCAACACTAAATAACACCCTAGCAACCACCTGGGATACCACAGCAACCAAGTCAAGTCAAAGTTTGTTAATTTAGCGTTTTCACAAAGCAGTTTTACAGAAAAATCTGGGTCCGAGACCCCATGAGCGTGGCAAGGAAAAACTCCCTAAGTAGCAAGAAACCTTGAGAGGAACCAAGACTCCAAAGGGGAACCCATCCTCCTCTGGTCGACACCGGATAGCAAACAGCGTTCGAATAAAATATTAGAATACAAAATGGGGAAAAACAGGTGGAGCAACGGTTAATTAGATTAGTTTAGTTTAAGCAGCAGCAGCAGGAGGGTCAGTTCATGAGGGTGAGGTTTGCACAGCGTTGTACAGCATGAAGCTTCATGGTGGTCAAACCGGTCCAGAAGGCTGGCGAGCAGAGGCACCCGATCAAGGCAGAAGAAGCAACAGCATCAGACGCAGAGGATGGGCAGCTGTTCAACTCGGCAAAGAAAAGGAAACACACAGAGAGTCGGTTCTGTAAAGAGAACCTGGGATACCGCAGCAACCACCTGGGATACCGCAGCAACCACCTGGGATATCGCAGCAACCACCAAGCAACACCCTAGCAACCACCTAGTAACACCACTGCAACCACCTGAGATACCATAGCAAACACCAAGCAGCACACTAGCAACCACCAAGAAACCCCCTAGCAACCACCTCAAAACACCCTAGCAACCACCTGGGATACCATAGCTACCACTTAACAACACATTTGCGGCCACCAAAAATACCACAGTAACCGTTCAATGATTGCTTAGCTTAGCTGCTCAATCTCTCTGCATTTTCTTCAGGAAATGCTTTTTTCTAGTCCTTCTTCTTTTTGTTTTTCTGCTGTAGTTCTGTCCGCTAACTCCTCCTGCAGTTTCCCAGATATCAACACCGTTCCAAGTCCAGAACACTGGGTCTGATCGGGAATGGTGTGCTTCAGCTTTTCGATCCAACGTACACTTTTTGTAGAATCACCTAGCAACACCATAGCAACCATCAAGGATACCATGGTAACCGCCTAGCAACACCATAGCAACCACTAAGGATACCATAGCAACCGCCTAGCAACACCATAGCAACCATCAAGGATACCACAGCAACCGCCTAGCAACACCATAGCAACCATCAGGGATACCACAGTAACCGCCTAGCAACACCATAGCAACCATCAAGGATACCATAGCAACCGCCTAGCAACACCATAGCAACCATCAGGGAAACCCAGTAACCGCCTAGCAACACCATAGCAACCACTTAGGATATCATAGCAACCACCTAGCAACACCATAGCAACCATCAAGGATACCACAGTAACCACCTAGCAACACCATAGCAACCACTTAGGATACCATAGCAACCACCTAACAACCAACCGAGATACCATGAAAAGTGGTTTTCAACATGTTAGCAATCACCTAAAATACAAAAGTAACCATTTGGCAGCACCTTAGCAACCATCTACACTTCTGTAGTTGTATTTACATATTTTAAAATAATATTTTTTCATGTTTTAACCCCATAAAACACCACATTGTAACATATTAAACATATTAGGATCATAAAGTGGATTTGGATAACTGTGTATGCCTCAATGGTGTTCTGCATAAAGTGACAACAGAGCTGATCTGAATGCGGCTCCTCCGCCCAGGACTCGGATCTTAGGTTCACTAAGACGTCAATTCAAAGGAGTCGGTTCGCTAATTTGAATCCAATCTCGCGTCACTTGTAAAAAAAAAAAAAAGCTCGACTCGACTGACAGTGACGTCCGCGCGCTTGTCTCGCCTGTTCTCGCACGTGCAGAAGCCGGAGATTTCACGGTGTGATGAAAATATCTGACACCACTGAAAACTGCACCCCATTCAGATCGCAAATGCGCATGCGCGGTGTACGCCTAGCTCAATTATTTAATGATGAAGTTTTAACTCACTGTAAGAAAACAGATGCTTATAAAGTGTTAAATCCTTGTTAAAATGAATCGATTTTATATTTCAAATCGTTTGTTTTATTCCTGTAACCTGTCAAAAAATTAATCTACACAAATTTGCTTAAACGAGATATATAAGACACTCATGTCTGTGGAGGCTTTAGAATCCATATTAAGTCATGATCTTAAAAATGCATTGTATATAAATATAACTGATGAGTTTGAGGTGTTTAGTTTAGGAAAGTAAGAATGTTTTAGTCTCTGATCTGCGGCTCAGATTCAGACTACACAAAAAACCGGTACCTGTTGGTCTCTCAGTAAACCACTGCCCTCTACTGGACAAAACACGACCTCTTCTTTAAAGGACCTTTAAAGGGCCCATATTCTACATTTTTACATTTTCCCCCTGAGCTTCACTTATGACAATTGTACGGAGCTCCTAAGGTGACATGGTGATTACTTTTTAATAAGTCATGGCCACAGATTACTATATTAAGGCCACAAGTTACTGTATTGAGGCCACTTGTTAAGTTTTTCATAACTTCTGGCCCGAGGACAGTAATCTGTGCCCTCACACACACACACACACACACACACACACACACACACATATATATATATATATAGTATAATATAGTAACTTGTGGTCTAGATATAGTATTTTGTGGCGTTAACATAGTAAATTTCAGCCTCAATATAGTAAATTGTGACCTCAATACAGTAACTTGTGGCCTCAATATAGTAACATGTGGTCTCAATGTAG